TTTGGCTGAAAGAGAAACCAAAACAGGGAAACATGGTTTCTGAGATAACAAGGTGTAGAGCTGGATGAACACAGCAGGCCAAGCAGCATCAGAGGAGCAGGAAGGCTGACGTTTCGGGCCTAGACGCTTCTTCAGAAAAAAAATGGTTTCTGGCTGGGAAACAGTCAGCTTAACTCCTTTGGCACGCAGTCCTCTACACACTTACTGATGATGTCTTTGACAGTAGTGACATACTCATTGAGGTTGAATGCTGAGTTATTGAATATGTGCCTGTCCATTGACTCTGAGCAGTCACATTAGAGCTAATCCGTCACCTCAGATCAGCACTGAACGACTTTCTGTATTGGATCTTCATGCTTCAGTTTCTGCTTGTGAGCTAGAAGAAGGTGCCGAGCCTTGTGGTCTGATTTACCAAAATGCGGCGGGGGATGGAGCAGTAGGCAACTTTGATTGTGTAGTAATGGTCAAGGGTGTTTGGGCCTCTGGTGGGACAGGAGACATGTTGATGGTATCTTGGTAACATACTCTTGAGTTGCCCTGGTTGAAGTCACCGGCTACAATGAACAAGGCCTCGGGGTATTTCGTCTTAAGGCTTTTCAGAATGCCTATGTTCTTTTGGTAAAAATTACCCCAAGCTATGAAGCATACATTCATTTCTTAAATCTTGACCATTGTGGGTCCACTGTTATGCCTTTTGTGAAGTTGCCCCCTCTAACACAACATACCCCTCACAGCTTTTGCAGCTTTTTTTAGATTTAGGACCCTAGTTTTGGATTGCAGTACTTCAATTTCTATATCAATGAAGAAATCGAGTTTTGGTAATTTTTCCTAAAGGACCTCTCACAACAAAATTATTAATTAACCTGTTCTTACTGCATATAACCAAATTTAGGATTGCCTCCCCACATTGAGTTGGTTTCTCAACATACATCATGTTCAAAATTCATCTTGTATACCAGAATTCATCTGCTATGGTTTTGCCCAATCTATATGTAGATTACAATAATACATAATTAATGTAGCGCCTCGTTGCATGGATCTCAAATTTCCTGTTTAATGCTGTCCCCTACCTCACATACTGTTTGGAGCTCTATCAAGAACTTCCACTAATGTTTTCTGCTCCTTGGTGTTTCTTAGCTCCACCCAGACTGACTCCACATCTAGATTTTCTACACCAGTATTCTTTTGTATTGTTGCACTGATTTCATCTTTTATTAACACCACCCATTTTCTTTACTGTTCTGCCATTTTTTCGTAAAGATTGCAGACCCTTGGATGTTCACTTCCTAGGCTTGGTGACCCCACAGCCATATCTCTGTAATAGCTATCATAGCATACCTAGGTACAACTATTTGCAACCACAGTTGCAATTACAACAAATTCATCTACTTTATTGCAAATTATATTCATTATCTATATCAATAATTTGGATGTGGGGATTAAATGTATTTTTCCACTTTTGTAGAATACATAAAACTAGTTGAAATTGTTTTGAGGAAGATGCAAAGACACTCCAGGTTTTGGAGAGACTAAGCGTGGGCAAAAAAATTGGCAGAAGTAATATAACTTTGATAAATGTCTAAATGTCCACTTTGGTAGGAAAAACAAAATGGTGGGAGAAGTGTTGAACTTCAATAACTTAGTGTCCTTGTTCTTGAGTCAGTGAAAGTTTGCGTGCAAATATTGCAAGCCCCTTAATGATTACAAGCAGATTTGAATATAGGAGTAAAGATGCCTCACTAAGTTACATCAGAGATAGTGAGAACTGCACATGCTGGTGTAAGAGACAACACAGCGTGGAGCTGGAGGAACGCAGCAGGGCAGGCAGCATCAGAAGAGCAGCAAAGGTGACGTTTCGGTTCGGGCCCCTTCTTCACAAATTTCTGAAGGTCCTGATCCAAAATGTAAACTTTCCTGCTCCTCTGCTGCCTGGCCTACTGTGTTATCTCTAAATTACATAGTAAGATTGCACTTGGAGGATTAAATGCAGTTTTGGCCACCTTAACTGTGGAAGGAGAGAGTGCAACAGAAGTTTCACAAAATTAATTCCATAGATGGAGGGATTGTTCAAACAGAAAAGATTCAACAGACTGACGTTTATTCTTCTAAGTCCAGCGACTATAGGCGATCTCATTCAAACACAAAAGTCTATTCTAGGGATTAACAGAGTAGATGCAGGAAACATGTTTTCCCTGGTGAGAGGTGGGGGGCTGGGTGGAAATTTAGAACCAGGCAACACAGTTTCTAAACAAGGGGTAGGCCATATAGGATGGGATGAAGAGGTAGTTCTTCACTTGGAGGGTGATGATACTTTGGAATTCTTTGCCTTCAAGACCTGTGGAGGCTAAGTATTTGACTGTGTTCAAGGCAAGCATTGATAGATTTCTACGGATTAAAAACACCTAACGATATAAGGACAGTCCAGGACAATGGTTATTGACTACAAGGTCAACCATGATGTCACTGAATGGTCGAAGGGGCTCAAAGAAGTGAGCTAGTGGCCTACTTATGAATAAAGTAGTGAATGCAAAATTTGCACTTGCTACAAATGTGAAACAAAAGCTGGAAACAGCAGGTCAGTTAGCAGTTATGAAGAAGAACACTTCAGTATTTTGGATTTTAAAAGAACATAAGGTGCCAAAAATATTGTATTAGGTCATTATCTGGAAATTATGGTTTGCCTCACTTTAGTTGTCATGTTGATGTCCAATTTTATCATTTTAGTATCAAGATTGACTTTCAAAATATTTTACCCACAAAAATGTATTTTGTGTCATACAAGGATTTGAGAGTGGACATTTAAACTGTCAGACTGTAAGGCATAGGAGCAGAAGTAGACCATTCACCCATTGAGTCTGATCCATCATTCAATGAGAGTATGGCTGATCTGATAATCCTCATATCCACTTCACTGCCCTTTCCCCAAAACACTTGATTACCCTGCTGATTAAAAATCTGTCTCAATCTTGAATATATTCAACCCACCCTCATATGCCCTCTGTGGTATTGATTTTGTGAGAATTCACAACCATCTGAGCAAAGAGACTCCTCCTCATCTCTCTGTCTTAAATATGTAATCCTAATTCTGAGATCATACCCTCTCGTCCTAGCCTCTCCACAAAGGAAACAACCTTTCCACATCTACCCTGTCCTCTAAGAATCTAATAAGTTTCAATAAATAAATTGCAATGAGAGAAATTTACAAATGGATAAGGATAGATTAAGTGAATGAGCAAAAATTTGGCAGATGAAATTTAATGTGAACAAGTTTGAGGTTGTCCCTTTTGGTCAGATAAACAAGCAATTTATTATCTAAATGGGGAGAAATTCGGAGCGCTTTGGTACACTGGGATATGGGTATTCTTGTGCATAAATTGCAGTAAACTAGTGTGCAGGTACAGCAGGTAATAGGAAGGGAAATGGAATTTTGGCATTTATTGCTAAATTGATAAAGTATAAATGTTGGGAAATGTTGCTGCAACTATACAAGACATTAGTGAGACTGCACCTGGAGTATTACACACAATTTTGACCCCCTTACTTAATGAGGGATTTGGTTGCATCGGAGACAGTTCATAAGAGGTTCATTAGATTGGTTCCAAGGGGGGTTTATCTTGTAAAGAGAGAGTGAGCAGTTCAAGCCTACATTCTTTGGGGTTGAGAAGATTGAGTGTGGATCAAATTGGGTACATAAGACGTCAAAAGGGACTGACAAATTAGATATATAAAGGATTTTTCTTCACATGGGCAATTTAGAAAGAAAGGTCATAATTTCAGGACAAGGAGTAGCAGATTTAAATCGGAGATGAGATGTTACTTCTCTCAAAGGATTGTGATGTGGAGTTCATACACCAGAGTCTGGTAGATGTTGGGGCACTGAATAAATTTGAGGAAGAGATAGATTTTTAACTCGTAAGGGGTTGAAGAGTTATGGAGAGCAGGCAGGAAAGTGGAGTTGAGGCTGAGATAAGATCAGCCATGATGGTATCAAATTGCAGACCATGCTCGAGAGGCTGAATTGTCTACCCCTGCTCCTAGCTCTTATGTTCTAGTAAGGTCGCTTCTCATTCTTCTATATGCAAACAAGCACAGGCTCAATCTTTTAAATCTCTCCTCGTATGACAGTCCCTCAGTACCTGGTATCAACCTTGGACTGCCTCCAATGCCAGCATATCTTTCCTTAGATAAAGGGCCCAAAACTATTCACAGTTTTCTAGCAATGGTCTGCCCTGTAAAATTTTAGCAAGACCTCCTTACTTATATATTACATTCACTTTGAAATGAAGGTCAACATTTCATTTGCCTTTTCTATTAACCACTGGACTTAGATGCTGGCTTTCTTTGATTCATGGATGAGGATTCCCAAGTTCTTTTGTTCTGTAGCTTTCTGCTGACTTTCTCCCTTTTAAGTAACATTTAGCTCCTCTATTCTTCCTGCCAAAAAGCATAACCTCATATTTTTGCTCACTCACTTAAGCTGTCTATGCCCCTCTTCAGGGATACTCACTACTTGCCTTCCCACCTACTCTTGTCATCCACAAACTTGGCTCTGGTACATTCACTTTCATCGTCCCAAATCATTAACATGTTATAAATAATTGTAGCCCCAGCACTGACCCCTGTGGCACACCACTAATGAAGACTAAGGTAAAGTATTTATTCAAATCCTTTGCCATTTCCTAGTTCCCCCACTATTATTTCCCCAGCCTCATTCTCTAAGGGGCTTATGTTCATCATTTGTTGTTAGCAGAGCAGTTTGTTATTCAGCTTGTACATAGTCCTTTCTCTGCTTCGTATAACTGCTGTCTGTGGCTACAAAATTAAGTTTTGCTTGCCTACAAACAGAAATTATAGACCCCCCAGCTTTAAGCTTCGAAAATAGTTAGATCACGTTTAGTGAGATCTAAGGGTGAACGTGCAAAGAAGAGAGACTTTGTTCATAAGATTGCAATGTGAGTAAACCCCTTGTACTGAATTATTGACTGATTATGGCATCTGTTTCTTCTGCAGTAACTACAGCTCGTGCAAAGCATGGGGGTGAAAACACAGCGTCCTCGATGTTTTTTTGACATAACTGTCAATAATCTGCTTGGTAAGGGAAATGTACTAAAGCAATTATGTAACTTGCATGAACACAAACTTTCAATATACTGAAATGACCATGGCTCAGGTTTAACTTTTTGAATTCATTTTGTTATATTATAATCGCAAACATTTTACTGACGTTGTTCTTTAAGAATCTGCAGTTGGTTTGGAACTTTGTTGCAACTTCAAGTTCTGCGGTTAAAGGAATACGTACATTTATTGGGAATGAGAGTAGAATGCGTTGGCATTTTTAGAATGTTACAAACATAAATGAATAAATTATAATGTTTAAAGTTGAGGATGCTCTTCTCCAAGAAATATAGGGCAAAAAAATGTGTATTCCAATATTTTAGTCCAAAATGTATTGTGAGGACTCTTGTGGTGCAGTGTTAGTGTCCCTAACTCTGAGCCAGCAGGCCTGGGATCAAATCCAACCTGCTCCAGAGGTGCGTGATAACATCTTGAGCAGATTGATTTAAAAAAAATAGTCTAGTGTTTTGTGTCAGCATCAATCAATCTTGTGTTATGTACAGCACAGGTTAGATGCAAACAAAAACACCCTTTGCACATTCTGAGCATGATGCATTAACTGAAGCTGTAAAAGATCTTTCTTCCTGCTTCAATATGAAATTTCCACTTCTGTCAAATTGCCTTTCTTGAATGAAGTTGTCACTTAGAGTTGCGAGTGTTTTGATATAGTTTTGCAAATTGTTGATAAAGTTAGTAACTAAATGAATGTAGTATGAAGTATGTAGCAATAGAATTTTTATTATACTTTTTAAAGACTTTAAGATATAATTGATTCATTTGTGTTTTTTTTCACAGTAGGGAGAGTGGTCTTTGAATTGTTTTCAGATGTGTGTCCAAAGACTTGTGAGAACTTTCGCTGCCTCTGTACAGGTTAGTTGCAGGATAGTGCTGAGTTCTTTGATCTAGAACTAAGAAAGATGTTTTGGTTTTGTTAGATATTGGATTGAATCTTCCAATCTGGGTAGAATCCCTATTTTCTGACCCAACTCGGACGAAAAGTTAACCACTTACCTTTGGAGGAGTTTTCTGGGTGAACATCTAAGGCAAGAGCCTTCCCTGTCAAAGCAACGTAGTCCAGTCTGGGAATCCATGCAAGCAGCAGTGGAGTGCATCGGCGCTAAAACAAAATCCCTTTTGCTGCAGTATCTACTCCAATCCAAGGTTTTGAAGTCCTAAGCCTATTCTGACAGCTACTGTGAGAAAGTAAGTGAGGGGACAGAGTGGCTGATTGGAAGGGGGAAGTTGGGTGCAGGAGGGAAATAAGGTAAAGGTGATTGGAATGAATGTCTGGTGGAGTTGCGAAGGTGAGCGTAAGTGACTGGGTAAAGGCTTAGGGTAAGTCTGTGGGTGTAGGTTTTAGGGTGTTGTTTGGAATCTTGGGGATGGTTGCTGAGGTTTGGAGGCGGTCAGAGGTGTGGCTGGAGTGTTAAGGAATGACAGTGGGATGGTACTTCGAGTTTGTTGTGTGGAGGCTAGGGGAATGCATGGAAATTGAGGGTCTGCATGTGTGCATATCTGGGAGCAAAGGGTGTATGGAATATCAGGAAGTTGGTGGCAGGGGCCAAAGCATGCGGGAGTCATTGGTGGTTGGGGTGGGGCACAGGAGTCCGTGCTGGTGGGGTAAGGGTGCAGGAACCTTTGAGGAGTGTGTGGGAGTCGATGGGGTTCTGGTTGTGGGATTCAAGAGAGGCTCAGATGAGAGGGATGAGTCCTGTGTGGGAGGCAATATGTGATGATCAGGAGTGGATGTGTGAATTGGTCAAGATTGTTGGCGGATGGACATGAAAGCTGGGAGGTGTCAGCTTTCCATTTCAGGAGAGGTTGGTAGCGAGTGTGAAAATTGTGGGAGCTGAGAGGTGGTTGGGTGGTTATGGGAATCAGGGTGCTCAGTTTGACTGGGAGTTGGGGGCTACTGTGGCAGTAGGGACAGTTCATGGCGGCTGTGGAAGTTGGTGAGAGTTTAGGGGAACTGTGGGAGTTTTGGGGGGGGGGGGGGGGGGGGTGATGTTTAGGGGTGACCACGAGTATCGAAGGGAATTGGGGAACATCGGGAGGAGTTGGAGAGAGTGGGAATTTGGCATGTTGGAGTTGGCAGATCAGTGATGTGGGAGTTAGGTGAGGTCAAGGAGAGCCATGGCATTCACCGGGCATCTGTAAGAGTCATGTGTGGCAAGGGGGTGGATAAATGATTTCAGGAAGGTGGTGGGGGTGGATGTCAGAGGTGCCTATGAATGGGATGGACTTGGGAGTCAAGAGGACAGAGTTCACAGTATATCGGATCTGTGATGCATTGGGTTTATATGGAGGTATGGGGAATCAGGTTTGTGCATGGGTTGAATTGATGCCAGTGGACCTGTTTAGAGGGTAGTTTAGTGGTGTGTCAGGAGACAGTTTTATATTTAGTCATTCTTTTAATCCATCTAACTTTTCCTGCCTAACTATTAGCTGAGTAAAGATTAGAGTTAACCCTCCAATTAAAACTCTCAGGTGGGGACCTATTTGGAGTGATTCAGAAGACGTTTCACACCGTCCTGTGTTAGCACTGCTTCATTGTCCTGACATGCAACACCTTTTCTGTATGTCAGCAAAAATCATCTTCCTTTTGGAAGATAAGGGTGATTCTTGTCTTGTGATTTTTTTTGTATATTTGGCATTGTTTTGATTATATTAAAACATATTAAAGCAACATGAATGGCATGTTCTTACTTTTGAAAAGCAACAATTTAAAATTACTACATTTTATTGGAGAGTCTGTCATTCTAGTTCAACTAAAGGGTGACAATTAAAGCATTAGAGCATTAAACAACTAGAAATAAGGTATATCTATATAGAACATCTATCTATGTTTATTTCCTACTTGGAAAAACCTGTCTCATGATATCACAAATTTCCATTCTTCTGTCTTTTTTCGCCAGTATAAATTGCTCTGTCCACATTTGTTATGGAAAGTGCCAATGTAAATTTGTCATTCTATAATTACATCCTCATACCAGTGGTTATTTAGTATCAACTTCTGTTGCGTCTCTCCCAGTTCTACATTATTATTTCTCTGTAATTCAGAGAAACTTCACCATCTGAAAGCTGCAGTTTTTTTAGCAATCTGTCCCTGTGTCAGAAGGTGGTGAGCAGAAAAGACAGGCTAACATACAAGTAAGTGTTTTCAGCATTGTTGGAAAGGGTTTCATCTTTTGGATAGGATATTGACCTTTCTTTCAAGTAGATACAAAATAACTTACTGTTGTGTTTTTAACAAAAATGGGGAGTTCTTTCTAGATTCTTGCAAATGTTTACTCCTCAACCTACACCAGCAACACCATTAATTTATAGAGTGCCTTTAATGTAGTAAAAAACGTCTCGATGCCTTTTACAGAAGCATTCTCAAACAAAATTTGACACTGGGTCACAAAAGGAGATCATAGAAACAGTCACCAAAAACTTGTTGAATTTAAGGAATTCTTTAAAAGAGATGAGAAAGCTTGAGGGAGGAATTCCAGCACTTCGGACCTTTAACAGAATGCATGCTGCCAATGAGGAGTGAAAATCAGATGTATGAGACCAAAATTGAATGAGCACACATATCTCGGGGCTTTAGAGCTGGACCAGGTGAGAAATGGAGAAATGTGAGCTTTGAAAACAGTGGAAATTTTTTAATTGAGTTACTGGACTTGGAATCAACATACGAGTCAGCAAGCACAAGGGTGATGAGTAAATGGGCCTTGGAGTGAGTTAGAGAATATGGTGAACATAATTTCAAAGGAGTTAAATTTATTGAAGGAACAGGATGGGAGGCCAACCAGGAGAGTATTGTGCACAAAGTTAAGTCTAGAGATTTTTTTGCAATTTATTTAAGACCTCAGCAGATGTAAGCAGTCTTAGAGGTGAACACAAATAATCTTAGTGATGGAGATAATATTTGATTTGAAAGCTCACTTTGGGGTCAAATGGGATGTCATTGTTTAAATGGTATAGTTCAGCTCAGCCTGTGGCTCAGGAGATCGATGGTCCTGGTGGCTAAGAAACAGATGTTTTGCCAGTTCTTGAAGATATTGGTTGCAATTTTCACAGTAATTATTGAGAGGAAGTTCCTATTCAACCTGTATTAACTATCAGCTAAGTAACATGACAGATCAGATATTGTGATGTGGACATGATAAGTGGTGGTGAAGTCGAGCTGTTTATCATTAGCATAGTTGTAGAACTTGATAGGTTTTCAGAAAATGTAATTAAGGCAAAGCTTATGAATGAGAAATAGCAATAGACCAAGAGTAGATCTTGGGGGAATCTAGTAGTAGTGGAATGGAGCAGGAAGAAAAGCCATTCCAGGCATGTTCCCTGGTTATGACTGGATAGATCACATAGAACAGTTGAGGGATAACCAACTGGATAATGGAGAACAGGGTTTGAAAAAGGATGGTGTGGTGTACTGTCAAAATCTACAGTCTGGGCAGTAAGAATTTAGAACAATAGATTACCATGATCACAGTCATACTGGATATCACTTTTGTCATAGGCTATTGCATTGATGAGGATATAAACGTGATAGGAAGTTAAAACATGGAGTTACAAGCAAGGTGGTTACACATTTGGAACATGCCAAAGCTTTCAGGGATGTTGTAAAAGAAAGGGTGGTTGAAAATCAGAACATAGGAACAGGTATAGGCCATTCAGCCCCTCCATCCTTTCCCACCATTCGATGAGATCGTTGATCTGTGGCCTGACTCCATGTATCTGCCTTTGGCCCATATCCCTTAATATCTTTGCGTAACAAAAAATTATCTATCTCAAAGTTAAAATTAATAACTGATCCAACATCTGTTTGTGGAAGACAGCTCCAAACGTGATGATTTTCAAATACCTAATTAGGTGTAAATCACTTTAGGATATCCTAAGGTTCTGAAGCAAATACATGTTCTTTATTTTTTCCCCATTTGTCATGCCATGGGTTACTGTTAATTTATTTTCTGTCTCTATCTTGCACAATTCGTAGAAACAGTCCGCAGATCAATATTGGCAGGATGTCTGTTTTAATGCTTACAGAAGTACATCTTCAGGAGAGCGCTCCACCGTTTGGTGCATTTTAACTATTATTGGTAGTTTATACCCACGTTATCAGTGATGCTACCCTGTTGATCTCATTACAGGTGAAAAGGGGGTTGGAAAGAGTACTCAAAAACCTTTACATTATAAAGGTTGCCTATTTCACAGAGTTGTAAAGGATTTTATGATTCAAGGAGGTGACTTCAGTGAAGGTATGAAATCAGCAGTTAGTAGTGCACATCCTAAAATTTGAAGTTCTTGATTTTTTTTCTTCCAAAGCTGCCTTTTCCTCACAGCTATTCATTATATAATTTTCCAGCCTGATTTTGTATAGCTGTGTATGGTTATTTCATTATCGTGGGCGGAGGCTTGTAAGGAGTGTAATCTCCGGCATTGACCACTGGGGCAAAATGCTTCTCTGTATATTCTATTAACTTGTGATTTAACTCACCTTTTTTTCCTCCTTTGTTGCTAATGCAAAAGCAGATGCAAATTGATATTAATGAGCCATAAGGTCTAAATTTGCAATTTCTTACTTAAGTTAGCTTAACTACTTGACTTAACAGGATTTGTTTCTTTTCAAATTTCATTCTTCTGTGAATGCTTGGGGAGGAGATGAAAGTGGTAATAATGGAAATAAACCATATGTTTGAACTCTTCAATTTAGTAATAAAACAAGTGCTCATTAACTTCTTTGTCTGACATTTTTAAAAACCACGTGTATTTTTTTTGTAACCAAACTGTTGTCAGAACCAGGACCCATTCAAAAATGTGGCCACTGTCTTAGTCTGTGACATGTTTTCTATGCCAGTATGCATTACTGTCCTTTATGCTTTTCCCACATCTGAAAATAAATCCCTCTTGATGAGGTTTGTGTTGCACTCTGCTTCTGAAATATATCTTTGTAGGAAGTTTTGTTTCTTTGAAATTGTGATGGTCCTGCAATGGCATGCATCAATGCTCCTTTTGAAATATAGAACAAGTTATAAAGAAGGATTACATTTTTTTTTTGCTGTCATTCTTTCACGTTAAATCAACGAGAGTGTGCTTTTCATAATGTGATTACCTTTTTGCAATTGAAATAATGTATATGCTAAAAGGGCTTGTTGTAGCTTCATTAAGAATCTTCTGTACTTGTAGGAAATGGCCGAGGAGGTGAATCTATCTATGGAGGGTTTTTTGAAGGTAATTTTTTTTCTCTGTTAAAACCTGAGAAGGAAAGTAGAAGGCCATTTAACCCTTCAAGCTTGCACTGCCATTGAATACGAAGACCATGATTGATTTACCTCAATTCTTTTTGTACTATCCCATATCCAAATTAAGCATTGCATGTTGCTAGTGAGCAGTACGTCACAAATTTTGTATTTATGCTACTGATAACTTGATGTATTTATTTTTGCTAAATTTGTGTGGGTACCCAAATAACAAAAGTATTCATTTCAGTATCATGGATCTAATTTACAGTTTAACGTGCTTTTTCAACTTTTAAGATTGAAAGCCTTACTGTTGAGAGGAATGTTGCAAAATTCTAAAGGTAGATTTATGTGCAAGGTCCATAGATGAATGCTGCTCGATAAGAAAGCTGCTAGAGCAGAGAACTGTAATGAACATGCATACATCCTGAAGTCACTTGTAAATAGGGCTGAGTCACTTAATTATGTGGAGAAACTAGAGAAGCTAGAATTGTTTCCCTTGAAGCAGAGAAGATGAAGGAGCTATTCAATAACATTTACAAGGATCGTTAATGGAGTAATTAAGACTAAACTATTCCCACCAATCAATGAATAAGTAACCAAAAACATTGATTTCATATTAATAGCAAAAGAACCAGAGAGAAAATAAGATGTTTTTTATGTTATAATTGTTATGATGTGCAATACATTGTATGAACAGTGGTGGAAAAAGTAGCAACTTTTAAAAAGGGTATTCGTGTATGCCTGAAACGAAATTAAATTTCTTGAAGAGTCTTCTGTAGTTTTAGGAAATGGCTGAGGTGGTGAATTAGGATTGGGAAGGGGTTGGTGAATGGGATTAATTGATTTTTTTTTAAACTGCCCGTTCCTACACAGCATAGTTTTCTGACTTCTCGTGCAAAGTACCCCAGTAAATTATAACTGCAAACTATGTAGCTTTTTTGTTCAGAATCCAGTTTTACATTTGACCACTGAGTCTCGTAGAGTGTGTGTTTTCACCGCAATTGGCTGGATGGACTACAGTGATTTTTGTTTATTTGTTCTTGTATTTTCACTGTTCCTATACAATAAAGTGGTGTGCTTAGTTTTGTGATTACAGTGTTTACTCCTGATTACACTACACTTTATCGGATAAATCCACCCATAGTGGCATAGAAATTGTGAAAAGTTCTTGAAGCTTTATTCAGTTCTATAAAATTGTTTCATTTCTTTATTGGAAATAGATGAAAGTTTTGCAGTCAAACACAACAAAGAGTTCCTGTTGTCTATGGCTAACAGAGGAAAGGATACTAATGGTTCACAGTTCTTCATGTAAGATTTTTTGTTATCCTGTAGAAAATATCTGATTTGGACAATGTAAAATAGGTTTACATCTTCAGCTAGTTATGTATGCTTATGCTGTGGTCTCATACTGCTACTAGTGGGCAGACAAGGATCTGTCAATAATTAATAAAAATACTTTTGCTTTCTTTCTCCTTAATCGTTTGTTCTGTTTTTTTGTCATCATATGACTTCTGTACATGCAACTAGAGTCCCATTTCTGTTACAGCATTTTCTGAAGATTAAAACAATGCTAATTTAGACTTTCAAACTGCATTTATTGCACTACTTGCCCCAAGATATGTGTAATGTAAGAGAGATTAGTACCAAAAATGTCTAAACTTTTTTTTACATTTGATTCATGCCTGTCTCTGTAATTGCCTTGTGGTTATGATATTTGCTTTCAACGCATGCATGATATTTTATGGCTGAATTTTTGAATTTCAATGCTTTATTGTAGCTTTTATAAGTTGTCTAACTTTGTTTTTCTAATTTCATGTTACGAATATTCATTTTTATGAATATTAAAACGTAAAGAACTACTAAGCCTGCCCCTCATTTAGATAGGTAAGTACACTTTCTATATATATATATTTATATATATACTATAATTATCTAAATGTTGCTTATAACACCACAGAAAATGTAACTGAAAATCACCTTTTGCATTTCGCCAGTGTACATGTGGTCTTTGGTCAAGTTATTTCAGGACAGGAATTAATAAGGGATGTGGAAAACCAGAAGACTGATGCAAATAGCAAACCATATGCAGAAGTACGCATCTTAAACTGTGGAGAATTAATTCCAAAATCCAAAGGTATGTGTGTGTAACTAGAGAAAGAGGAAGAATTTAGGAGCAAATTATTGCAGATGCTGGAATCTGCACTGAAAACAAAAAATGCTGGAAATCACAGCGGGTCGGGCAGCATCTGTGGAGAGAGAACAAGCTAACGTTTCAAGTCTAGATGACTCCTCATCCAAACTCTGATAGCTTGCTCTTTCTCCAAGGATGATGCTTGACCCACTGTGATTTACAGCATTTTTTTGTTTTCAGTGAAGAGGAAGAATCTTCTGTTTCCTTGCTTTAGAGCATTTTAATGTTTAACTTATTTTACAATAAAAATGACTCAATGCAGCAAGCTGGAAGATCAACTGATGTTCACAAATGGTGTCCATTCAAGTAATAGCCAAGTGTAACTCTGGCTTATAATGCCAAATTAGTTCAAATGCTATTAAAACAGAATGGAAGTTGCCAATAGATTGCTTTTGTTGAACCTTCAAATAAAATTTCTGAAATTTTTTCAAATAAAATGCATTTTTATGTTTCCTTTGCCTCTGCTGAAGGAATGGAAATGATTACAATAGAGCTTTTGAGTTCACCAGGGTCCTGGAAACTGTGAAATAAATTAGATAATTGCCAAGTTGCCCTTGAGAAATTGTTGGTGAGCTGTCTTCTTGTATCGTTGCAGTCTATTTGGTGAAGGTAGACTCTCATTGCTGTTCAGGAGGGATATCTTTGTATGTAAATCATAGGTGCAGGCGGTGTTTCAAGGTGGCATACATTTTAACAAATAGATGTATTTTACTTAAGCAAAAAAAGAAGAGAAGAAAAGAAAGAAATCTTCATCCTCTTCAAGCGAATCTGAGAGTTCTTCTGACTCAAGCTCTTCCTCAGAATCAGAAAGTGAAACAGATGAAGATTCTAAGAAAAGAAAAAAGAAACAACGGAAGAAGGAGTCCAAAAAACGAAAGAAAGACAGGAAACGAAGAAAGAAATCAGAAAAGAAAAGGTTGGTGGTAATGTTATATGTAAGAATGTTAATTGTCCTTTATATTGTCCTGGACTTGGCATTATGCCAGCACTAGTCTGAATATAAGCTTAAGAATCATTTTTAGTGATTTTAAGACGACATCTTTTATGCAGCAACCAGTGTGCTAACAAAATACTTCACCTATCACAAATTTTGATTTATTTCTTGGCCAGGTACTTCTGCCATCATATTCTCCCTTTTCACACTTCAATCTCAAATCACACATTTGGACAAACAAAGGGCCTATGATGGTTAGAGATAGTAGGAACTGCAGATGCTGGAGAATCTGAGATAACAAGGTGTAAAGCTGGATGAACACAGCAGGCCAAGCAGCATCAGAGGAGCAGGAAGGCTGACGTTTCGGGCCTAGACCCTTCTTCAGAA